AAAAAATTATAGAAAAATAGATAGAGAAGGTAATATGAAAGTGTTATAACGTGTTTCTTTATTTTTTAAAGCATCATGTTCTTTGGGAAACAAGGAATCCGAATCTCAGTTGAATTCCAAATCAAAAGGAGACACAAACATGCTTGTCCAAGTAGTGTCCTGAGAAATGGGTTTGGAGTAAATCAGCCATCGGTTCATGTGGTTGAGACAGAGTCGGCGCACTCGTCCTAATTTTTGTCAATAAATTTTTGTATATGTGAATTTCCACTGGTCCATCGTTCCACTACTATCAGGACTAAAGCTTCTTGCAATTGAAAATCTTGAAAATGAATCTTCTATCCAGTTTGAGATATGTATAGTCCGTTGTCGCAGATGGAAAGAGAGATCCACATTCCTCTAAAAGGCTCTGTTTTGTAATGGCTTGATGTTAAGAACAAGGGGCTGAAGAAGTAAACACATGATTAGGCTGTATCTATAATGCAGGTTGCCAAGGAACCTTCCCGTTCCAAACCTGCGTTTACAGAAAAGTCAATGTTTCAATGGAAGGATGTGTTGCAATCTATTTCTAGGAAATTTGGGTTCACGTGTGAATCTACTCTTCTTAAAAGAATGTATTTACTCGAGAATTCTTATAAAATGCCCATTTCTTAAAGGACCGTTAGAATATGTATCTTTTTATACAATTTTCACAAGCAGAATATTATGGTAACTTGTATAGCACGCTGCAACAGTAAATGTGTAACTTTGTCCGATAAGATTTTTCCACAAGATAGGCTTGACGAAAGTTACTCATGAAGATATTCCACAAATAACAGTTTGTAAATATGCCGTGTTATTGACTTTTGAAAATAAAATAAAATTATGTTCAACAAAAATGATCCCTTTTACAAAGAACGTCCAACATCTCTGTTGAAGATAATGCAGAGAACTAATGCCAGAACTCAATATATTCTCTTGTTCAGATCCAAAGCAGCTAGCGTGAACAAATATATTATCTTGGCCAGACTCTGCATTTGTTTTGTTCCTCCTAAATCCCACAAAATACTAAATCATGTTTTTATACGTACAAATGCATTTAATCAAATGAAAATACTTATTGTTACACTCAAATTAGGGATACATGAATGGGATGGCTAAGGGATATAGTATAAAACATAATTTTTTAGAGATTCTGTAAGACATTGATAACTGAGAAGTAGCATAGAACAATCAACAGACATTATATTACAAAATGTTGAGACTATTACAACTTATTAGCAAACAACCAAATAGGAAATTACAAAGACAAACGAACTACTTAGTGGTGGAACACAAACTTGACAAAACCGAGAGAGATAAGGATTAACGACCACTTATGATGTTTGTGGGCTAGTTTAGACTGAATATCGACATGAGCCACTCGTGTTTGTATGAAGCGAAGATATGTCCGATCACTAATCCACAAAACACACCTGGTACATATGCTATTGCAGCTGCTATCCAATTCAGCACTGGCTCTTCCTGTTCTGACGACAAAGATTCCTCGTGTTGCTGCGATGTAGGAACAGGGACATGGATCTCTCTACAAATTTCTTCAAGGCCATAGAGTCCAGGATTATCAATGAATGAAGAACATTTCTGAGTTTGAAACTGTGTGCTACGTGGCACCAAACCTTGTAGATGATTGTGTGACAAGTTGATGTTGGATAAAAACGAGAGGTTCCCTAGACCACGAGAAATTTCACCTGACAAGTTATTACGTGATAGGTCTAATGTCTCGAGATTTGTAATGTTCGCCAAGGATGATGGAATATTGCCTATGAATGTGTTGCCTGACAAGTTGAGAAGACGTAATCCATTCAATAAACCAATGGATCCAGGGACATCTCCGCAAAATCGGTTTCCAGAAAAATCAATGGCTTTAAATGCTTGAAAAATCCGAGCAAAATCAGTGTCTACTCCTTTGTATGCCAACTCGATCGAATCTTCATGTACATCATCCCCATGTAGTCTCTATAACTCAAAAATCTTGACATTCCAGGCCAATCGGCAAAATAGTCTTGTGGCAATGATCCAACGAAGTTGTTGTTTGATATGTCAATGATTCGTATACTTGGAAACCCTAAATAGGGAGAGGGGCTATACACTGGACCATAGAATTGATTTGATCGTAGCACAAGAACCCTTAAGTATTGCATAGATCCTAACCAAAATGGGAACGTGTCGTTGATCTTGTTTCCATTCACATTTAGAAGTTCCATATTCGTGCAACTGATCAAGGACTTTGGAAGGTTCCCCACCAGATTGTTGCGGCTGACATCAAGTGATCGTAATTTAGAGATATTGACCACGCATAAATCTGGTAGAAATCCACTTAAATTGTTGTTTCGAAGATTTAAATCTACAAGTGAAAGGGAATTCCCCTCAAACATTGAGGAATGGAGCCAGTGAAATGGTTGTTTGACAAATCCAACGACCATAAGTCTCCTAACTTGCAGATCCATTGGGGAAATGGTCCTTGGAGTGAATTTGAACCAAGATCCAACACATGTATGGATGCTAAATTGACAGTAACTTCCACTGAGTCGCCAAAGCTGATGAAAGAGTTATGAGAAAGTTTCACATACGACCACTTGGACGATCTCCACAGAAAATTTGGTACTTGACCTTTCCACTTATTGTAGGAAAGGTCAAGGGCACTCAGATTGAGTAATTTTGACATAGAACTAGGAATTTTTCCTATGAAATTGTTATGTCTAAGATCTAAAAAATGGAGATTGCGTAATTTCGATATAGACCTAAGGACCCTTCCTCGGAAATTGTTATGGCCAAGATTTAAAGAATAGAGATTGCATAATTTTGATATAGTTTCTGGGATTGGCCCATCAAACTTGTTGTAGCTAACATCTAACTCTCCAAGCGTAGATGTTGAAGAGGTATTCCCAAAATCAAGAGGTCCTTCGAATTGGTTTCGGTGTAAATCAATATAGCGTAACGAAGAACTCATGAGCAAGGATGAGGGAAAAGGTCCGAAAAATGAGTTTTCATTCCCTATGAATTGCTCCAAGTTGTGGAGTCGACTTAGGACAACAGAAAGTGACGATTTGAAGTTATTTGAGGAGAGTTAAAGTCTGGACAAGCTTGTCAAATTCGCTAATGCTATAACCCTACCAGAGAATTGATTTTCAGAGAGGTTTAATAGCGAAAGCTTCGTTAAGTTGGCAAATAAAATAGGAATATTACCTCTAAGATCATTACTCCTAAGGTTCAAGTGTCTTAGCTGGTTTAGATTACCGACTGAAGCCGGAACTTCACCTACTAAATGATTAAAGGAAAAATCAAGATATTTGAGATGAGAAAGATTTCTAATGAAGGAAGGAATCTCCCCTTGGAGATTGCATTGTGAAAGCACAAGGAAACGAAGATGTTGGAGTTTAAACAGACCACTGCTAAATTTCAAAGAGGTGTTGCCATTCGAAAAGCGATAGAGTTGTAGTGATATAACCTCTCCCAATGTAGCATCACACGTCACACCCCACCAAGAGCAACATTCGACACTCTTGTTCCATTCCTCGAAAATGTTCATATCCTTTTTTAGCTTTAAAAGAGCATCTCTTTGGTCGCGGCACAAAGACCGTGTAGAAGAAGGAAAGGTGGTCAGTAAGAAAGATAAGAAATAGATTGTAATAATACCACGAAAGCAATAAGATTGGCTTCGATTCATCACTTCTCTATATTTTCTTAGTTGGAAAAAGAAAAATTGTGTGTTGAATGGTTAAGTAATGTGACATGTCTGATTTGTTACTTCTCTTTATATCAGAACATTCTCTGTAAGGAGCTTGGCAAGTCTTCCACTATACTAAGGATGACTAAAGGAGGATAATGGTTAGTTAAACATGTGTTTAATGGGTTTAAAAAGTCAAGCCACTAAAGCTTTAGGAATAAAAAAAGTAAAGCCACTCCTCCATTTTTCTTTGTCCAATAATGCGTAAGGAATGGGTTTATACAATTAATCGGTCATCGGGTCATGTGGTGGACTCAACCGGTTTACATGAACCGGAAGGAATTCTTCAATAACTATCCTAATCAAACCAAACTGAACCATCAATTAGGTCCAGTAATACTCAAATTAAGCATTTAGACCATCTCCAATAGTCCCTCATTTTGAAGGAAAACATCAAAAAATGAGGGAAACTCTTCTCCAATGGTACATCATTTTGAGGGAAAAAATGAGTTTATGAACAGTATTACATCAAATTTGAGGGAACACTATTCATCCCCTCATTTCACTTTTTAGCTTTGTTTATTTGCAAAATGATCCTTATAGTTTTACATATATTTCATCTATATCTAAACAAAGTTTTAAACTTTTATTTACTATACAAATAAAATATTATTGTTTTTAAAACATAAAAATAAATAAATATTCATTAACTTTATAAATAAAAACGTGAAAAAATAATTTTTCTTTGTAATGTTATGTAATTTTCTTTATGCAATAAATGTTTTAATATAAATTAAGAATTTTGTTTGTTTAAATTTAATATTTTTTTAAAAATAATTGGGTATAATTTGTAAATTTAAAAATAGTGGGTGCTGTTTGTAATTAATAATAAAATAAGAAAAGAATATACTTAGAATATTCCTTTTTGAGGGAAAAAATGAGGGAGACTATTGGAGTAAAACTCTACCTCATTTTGAGTTTACTTCATTTTGAGGGAAAAAATGAGGAAAACCATTGGAGATGCTCTTAGTACCCTAATTACAACTTTAACGGTTAACAAGTTCAACGGGTTGACTGATCGGTTACTTAAACCGGGATTGACTTCCCAATTTCTTCAATTATTAGCCAAACAACGAAATTGAAGTTACGAATTTGATCTAGCAAAGACTCATCAAAAGGACCTTGAAATTTCACATCAGATTGTTTTTCTACCAATAAATGTTTCTTTGCCTAGCTATGAGCTTGACAAAACTTGCAATGTTACATATGACCTGAAATCTAAAGGCAGTGGCACCTCTTAGCTGAGCGCAGCTCTCTTCCGGCCATGAGCTTTGCTGCTTGTCGTTGCCTTCTTTGAGGCTTCTTCCTCGCGCTGCTCATTGTCACTTTTCTCTCTCAAAGCTTTCAGCTTTGTCTGTCGACTCTTCCTCTTCAACTGCTCTCTCTGAATCTTCTTTGTCCCTTAGTGCTCTGAGTTTTGCCTTCTTTGTGTTTAGCAAAGAAAGAAACTGCATCGACACAAAAAGAAACTAAGATCCTTTTGCAAATACTAATCTGCTCCAAAAAAGAAGCAATCAAGAGATTAGAATAGTCAATGATTCTAATTTAAGCAAGAAGAAAGCAAATATGAGATAATACATGCCTTTCCATAAGTTGCATCCTCAAACTCCGTTTTTTCGTGGCAGATTTTTTCACCTTGCGCTAGGCATTTCTCGGCTTCACTTTTCATCTTCTCAACGGATCTCGTCTTGTTCACAACTTTATCCTGTGGAGTATTATCAGGAAGTTTGTGTAAACACTTAAGTATTGAGAATCATAGTGCCATTTCTTCCAAAGACAAATCAAGAAGCCACATATAAGAAACATAGATCAAAGCACTTAGGTCTAATTCATCATATTCATATCCAAAAACAGAATGATATAAATCCTTCGCCAATTCAATATCAAACATCACACAAAATCCTCAAAAGTTGATCTAGGATCAGAAAAGACTCGGGCCACAGAAAAAGTAGGTGACCACCGTTGACCGGTGAAGATTCAAAAGATCCTAGAGTTTCGCAAGCATGAATCATGTTCTAAGCTCAAGTCAATGGAAATAAAGGGGAATAAATCCTTCGCCTTTTTATTATCAAACATCAAAACAAAAACCTCAAAAGTCAGAGCGTATAGCGTAGAGTCATACACTTAGGCCCTGTTCGTTTTTTGATCTAGATGCTGCATCTAGATTTTGCATATAGATCAGCATCTAGAAAACAACTAAGTTTTGCATCAAGATGCTACATCTAGATACTAAATTGTTCGTTTATGAATTTAGAAAAATAGTTGGATGCAAAATACATCAAATGAATAAAAAAAACATATTTTTGAATTAATATTTTTAATAAATGATGTTTTTATTAAATTAAGTTTTAAAAATATATGAATTTTTCTTTTTTTGCATTTTTTGTGGGAAATCATCATTTTATATATTTGACGGAAAATTTTTTTTACTGGAAATCGAGATTTTGCGTTTTTCGGCGAAAAACCGAGAGTTAAAATTTTTTGTGGGAAATCGAGATTTTGCGTTTTTCGGCGAAAAACCGAGAGTTTTCGTTTTTGGTGAAAAATCGAGATTTTGCGTTTTTTGGCGAGAAATCGAGATTTTGCGTTTTCAGCGAGAAACCAAAATTTTTCTTTTTTTGGCGAGAAATCGAGATTTTGCGTTTTTTGCGAGAAACAGAGATTTTTTCGTTTATGGCAGGAAATCAAGATTTTCGTTTTTGGCGAGAAATCGAAATTTTGCGTTTTTGACGAGAAACTGAGAGTGTTTTCGTTTTTGGTGGGAAATCGAGATTTTGCGTTTTTGGCGAAAAACCGAGAGTTTTCCTTTTTTGGCGAGAAATCGAGATTCTGCGTTTTTGGCGGAAAAATCGAGATTTTGCGTTTTTGGCAGGAAACCGAAAGTTTTGTTTTTGATGGAAAATTGAAATTTTGTGTTTTTGGGGAGAAACCGAGAGTTTTCATTTTTTGGTGGGAAATCGAGATCTGCGTTTTTGGCGGGAAATCGAGATTTTGCGTTTTTAGCAAAAAACTTAGATTTTTCGATTTCGGCGGAAAATCGAGATTTTGTGTTTTTACGGAAAATCGAGATTTTGCGTTTTCGGTGGGAAACGGAGAGTTTTTGTTTTTGTCGGAAAATCAAGATTTTGCGTTTTTGGAAAAAACTAGATGCAAACACTGCATCTGAACTCTCTATTTCTCAGCATCTAAAATATCTAGATATTTGAGATGCTAATCAATTTGCATCCAGATACTGCATCTGAACACAAATTTTTTTTTGAAAAACAAACAACATTTGGACATTTGCAGCTAGATGCAGCATCCAGATACAAAAACGAACATGGCCTTAACCTTATATTTGCCTCCATAAGAAAATCCAAGATCCCAACTGTGGTGTTCTTGCTGTCATGTGATGGTTTACATTCTTTGCTATCTCGGCTTCAACATTATTTACAATTATATAAATCCTCAACTACAAATTCATTCAAAACTTGACTAGCCAAAGAATGATCATCAAAATATCAGCGAGATGAGTGCAAATATTATTGATGTCTTTATTTATTTTGACGTTAGCTAAAATCCTTTTTGTTTTAGAAACTTTTGCAATATCATTGTATACGCATTATTAAATACTAATTAGTGCAAATATTAGTATTAAATTGTCTTTCTTGGCTCAAGTTTCAAAATAGGAAACCGACATATAATAGGGAAATTAGGTCTTTCTCGGATGTACGCTTTCCCTCCATCGCTCTCCATCGATCTCTCTCTCGTATTAAAGATATTTAATTTACAAAGTTATTTGATCACACTGTATGTATGGAGTCGAGAAGCCTTCCTATGGATTTAGCAGAGGAGATACTTTCTAGGGTTCCAGCTAAATCTGTAGCACGATTGCGATCCAAATGCAAAGGATGGAACGCTCTATTGAAAAGTAGGAGCTTTGTTGAGATGCACACTGCTAAAGCACCTAAGGAGGAGTCTTTGGTTATCATGTTGATTCATTCTAGGGTTTACTTAGTGAGGATCGCTTTCCGTGGAAATCACGACAAGAAGGTTGCTCCATCTGCTAAGGTTGCATCTCGATTATACCTAAAAGATCCCCTTTCTAATTCTTCACAAGCCGATATACGTAACGTATTTCACTGCGAGGGCTTATTCCTATGCACCACGGAGGACAATAGACTCGTGGTTTGGAATCCATGTTCAAGGGAAACCAAGTGGATTAAACCTAGAGACAGCTACAAGGAATTTGACTACTATGCTCTAGGTTACGACAACAAATCCTCTTGCAAGCAATACAAAATCTTGAGGGTGGATCGTCATCAAGTTATACCAATCAAGAATGAGTACGAGATTTATGACTTCACCTCTAATTCGTGGAGAGTTGTTGGTGTGGCTACTGATTGGTTTTTAGCACTATCTCGTCGTGGCATATCTGTGAAGTGGAATACTTATTGGGTTGCTACTCAAGCAGGGACGCCACATGCTGAGTATTTACTAAGTTTTGATTTTTCAACAGAGAGATTTCAAACTCTTCCTCTTCCTCATCGTTATACGAATGCGGTTTTATCAGCGATTGGCGAAGAGCAGCTTTGTCTGTTATGTACTAGTTTCAAATATTCGATGGAAACTCTTGAACTCGATTTCCAAGTATGGGTGGCAAATAGTACCGGATCAGTCTGGTCATGGAGCAAGTCGTCCCTAGTAGTGGATTATTATAGACCTATCATGTATTCTAATGGAATGAGTTTTTTGGTAGACGAGCATAACGAAGTTGTAATGTGTTTGAGAGATAACGACACGTTACACATCGCGTGCAAAGACATATACACAAACACACACATTGTGGGCGGTAATCTTGGTGGAGATTCTACATGCATATCATCATCTTGCTCAGTTCTTCTGAATTATGTTCCAAGTTTGGTTCAGATCCAACAAGGTGGTAGACGAAAAAGGAAAACACCAAGCACGTGTGACTTGTAATTGTCACACTAATCTATGCATATTATCTATCAGCGCATCGTTATACTTGATCGGCTGGAAAACTTCTAAATCACCACCAATAAGCCAGTTTCCAGATGGACTAATGTGCTCTTCCACATAAGGCAATCCAGGAGAAGTAGTTCCCCAAGTTCGAGCAATCCTTTTTTTCTTGTTGTATTTGTATATCTGTACACTGCAATTTCACAATCAGATGATTCATAAAAACTGTCAACCACTGCACAAATCAACAAAGCCAGCAAAAATTCATACACAAAAGAACAGTGATAATTCAATTTATGTCAAAGTTGTCTAATTCAATGCATCAAAGACTTTCTCTTTCAACACTTAAAACACTCAATGCATTGTTATCTCTTGAAGAAACCTTATAAAGCTACCACCATAGTTCTATTTCGATCTCAAATTAGAAGAATCTAAGCAATCTCACCAACAAAATTCTTCGATATACTACAATTACATATGGCCATTATCTATGTATGCACCTTCGTAGAGAACCAATGATGCCTCCTTGAGGGCTAACAATAGCAACATCCTTGGACGATCCAATCTGTTCTTTTGGTGTGATCATCAATAGCAAGAACAATAGGAAGAGACATGTTGACATGATACAACGCTCAATAATATTAAATAATAATAATCTAATCTATGAACTATTAATCAATTCTTAAAACATGCATTAAAAAGGTGCTTTTAAAGCCTAAAAACAGTATAAAGGGTTCCAACTAGGTTGTTGTTGAGCCTAATTGTCGAATCTCTGTAGACAGTATTTTGCCTTGTGCTCTGTTTTATCTATATGGGTTTGATCTGTTTCACCCACTGTGAGTCAAATCATGAGATGTGGATTCTGTTAACAGTTGTTCAGAGATGAAGCAAGAAGGCAACAACAATAACAAGAGGCCATACGAATCCCATAATGGGTTTGGCAACAACAGATCAGACGGAGGCCACATTTTGAGGCACTTCTTTGACGACTGGCCTCGTTCTGAAGCCGACAATAGTTCAAGCCCCATGAGCTCAGCCACTTGTCTCTCCATCTCCATGCCCGGAAACTCTTCCTCGGACGTCTCTCTGAAGCTGTCTAAAGGCAACGAAGAGGAAGCTAGGAGCAACAATGGGAGGGACCAGCAAATACATGAGCTGGTGGAGCGGAGGGTCCCATCACAACCACCACCACATGGGCGGACCGTTGGCCGAAGCCCTGAGATCTTCCTCATCGTCTTCCCCAACCAGTGTTCTCCATCAGCTCGGTGTCTCGACGCAAGCCTTTCATTGAACAGTGACACAGCATTGTGGTTTTCTTTACTGTTTTGTTTTGGGTTTTTATTCAAATTTTCGCTGTATAAAGAGGGGTGTCTTTTGTTACCATCTTCCCTTTTCCCTGTATCTGTTTCATTTCTCTGCAGATTTTCCTCTCAAAGATTTATCTTTTTGGAACTAAGTGTTCATATCACTAAGTAGAATCTGTGATGAAGCATATGAAGCTAGAGCAACTGTGGTAGTGCAGCGACTTTTATTAATATTATTTTAAAAATTATTATGATGCTGCAAGTGAAACTAAAGGAGAGGGAGATGAGGATAAATCTTGTAGTACAAAGAAGCTTACAGTACGCAAACTCGGACATTCTTCTCTTGCTCCTAAACATCCTCGGGCACAAGGCTTATGGGCACCAGAGAAGAATCTTCATTAACATCTACTGCAGCGTAAACTACAGCAGTTCTGCACGGCGCATAGACCATGAAGGAACAAGGCCTATCGTCGCCTGACTCGCAATCCCTTCTTCATCTTTCCCCTTCGTCAACGTCATCCTCACCGCTGTTACTAACTCCAATCGGAGTAACATCATCCATCAGCTCAGCCTCATCGCCCGCTGGATGGAATCTGCCTTTACCGGAGGATGACGAAGAAAATTGGAAGAACTTGGGAAGAGAGCATCGGTGTTCTTTTTTTTTCAATTGTTTTTTTTTTCTGGGCATAATACAATAAAATAGTTCATTTTTTCCAAATACCATCTCATGAGGTGGTATTTTGTGTCTAGTAAATTTTAACTAGAAATCATTTCTCAGTTTTTAAAAACTAACTTTGGTGTATTTTACTAATCCAAATTCTTGTTTTTCAATAAGGGGAGAAAATTATAAAAGGTTTTATAAATACTAGATACAATAACTTTGGATTTAAAACATGTTTTATAAATTCTAGATACAATAACCTTGGATTTAGAATAGTTTTTATAAATACTAGATCCAATAAAGGGAGATTTAGACAAATCCAAAAATTTTCCCAAATTCATGATCCAATAAGCCCCCTTATAAAAAGTCTATATTAAGTAAAGCAAAATACACACATAAAACAGAAAGAGAGACGAGAATTCTCCTTTGACTCTAATTTCTTCAAAGAGATTAAACTTTTTGTCTTGTTTTTCAAACATCTGATTGATATTAATATCGAACTCGGAATAAAGTAAGTGATCTGATATAAGCTCATATGGTTAATGTGAACTTTGGTTTCTCCGTTCTCTCTCCACCCTTTCATGGTGATGGAGATCTGCATGTACTCCGATTTGATCGAAATACTCCCTTCTTTGGGCTTCATACTCTCTGCCTCACTTCAAAGTTTGCTTTCTAGTGTTCCTGGAGCTTTTCTCTTCTTCTTTTCTTTTCACCAAACCCCTCTATTGCATCTCATCTTCATCAAGTTCATCCCCTTCCTCTGTAATTGTCTACCCACTCCCGTCCTCTCTAATTTCGATACCATGTCAAAGGATCTCGATGAAGCACCATTCGAATTGCCAGATCTCCCGGTGTTCAAGTCTAGCATGTGGAAAATCTTCAGTCTAGTTGGTTGTTTCTTGCCTCCTAGGCGAGGATCATCTTCCACCAACATCATCTCTTCATCATCGTCAGAGTCAGCTTCCCCCTATTCCAATCAACGCAAGATCGCCAATAAACGTAAATCCAAGGTTGGTGTAAGCCGCTTCTCCAAGTCCAAAGTCTGTCATGTGGTCCCATCCGAGGGACCTTTGGTTCATTGAAACCAGTGACGCTCGGTTTCTAGTCTCCGGAATTTTGCTCTTCATCGGCTCCGGAGTTCTTCGGGATAATGTTGTCTTTTTTTTAAGTAGCTTTCTAGTTCTTCTTCCTTTGCTTGTGCATTTGCTTGTGCCTTGCTTAAGCAGTTTATACTACGAACAATATAGAGGAGAAAGTAACATTCGTACCTCAAAGACTGAAAAGTAACTACATATATAGTCGTAACTATAGTATATAAACCACTATTGGAGCAATGAAAATAATTAAAAATGAAGAAATTAGTGTTTATTTTTTGTGGATCTGTTTTCTTACAACTATAGCATACCTATGATCCCATTTGGTTTTGGTATATGAAAAGCATGCATAGGCATTCGGTTTTGGTATGAAATAATTCTTAACGAAATTTCTACTGTTGGACAAAATTAGAGCATGATTGTTTTACTAAATGAGTACAGAGATTAAATCCCCCAAATTTATTTAATCTAAAAAATAGTTATGTAAGAAAAAAAAAGTTGTTTACTTATTCATGTAACAAGTTTATCGATATATGAAAAAGTTTGTTATTGACTTATTCATGTAACAAGTAATAGTTATGTAGACTTTCTTCCCCTAAGATTCAAAACTCAAGATTCTTGACTTTTCTCTCTAACGATTTCTTCTCTCTCTCACGGTGCTCTCACTGTCCTTCCCCACGGAGATTCAATTTTATGGTTGCTTCCAACTCACTAATCCTCTGTAAAAAAAACAAACACACTTGTTAAAAGTTTTCTTTGTTAAAAAAAAAAAAAAAAAAACACAAAATTTTCTTCTTGCCTTGCATTTGCCAAGAAGTTGTTGCATCAACTCCTTTCTCACAATAGTGTTAATTGTGTTGAAATCTGACTTCAAAGCCATGTCTTCCAGTTGAGGCAAGCCAGCCAAAAAAATTCTGATAGTGTTCATTTCAAGCAGGTTTTGGAAGCACGCATGATATTGAAGGAGGTCCATGGCAGAAACTGAGTTTGGAACTTTGGATGATGCTTGCACTGGAAGATCAGATCCATAAAGTCATTGGAAAAATTTTTCCCATCATATTTAAAAGAAATATATGACTTGTAATCAATCCCCTGCACCAGTTCCAGAGCCAAGACACCAAAGTCCCAGATGGGAGAACCTGAACCCTAGGAAGCTAATTAATACTTCAACGCTCTGATACCATATTAGTCTAAAAGAGAACACGAAAAAGATGAAGTTGGGAAAAGTTTGTTATTTGTTTCTTATCTCTTCTGTTACCAGGAAATGCTCTTATATAGAGCTTCTATTAACCGGTTTACATCAAACCGGATTTACAATCTAATATTGTCTTATACAAACCAAAAGATGTTTCACTTTTCAAGGCTATGGAAGCTCTTAGCTGAGCGCAGCTCTCTTCCGGCCTCGGGCTTTGTTGCGTGTTGTCGTTGCCTTCTTTGAGGCTTCTTCCTCGCGCTGCTCATTGTCACTTCTTTCACTTTCAAAGCTTTCAGCTTTGTCTGTCGACTCTTCCTCTTCTACTGCTCTCTCTGAATCTTCTTTGTCCCTTAGTGCTCTGAGTTTTGCCTTCTTTGTGTTTAGCAAGGAAAGAAACTGCATCGACACAAAAAGGAACTAAGATCAATGCTAAACACGACAATATCTTCACTGTCCTTAAAAAAAAGATGCAATTAAGAGATTAGAAACGCCAACGATTCTAGTTTAAGCAAAAAAGATTATATACATGCCTTTGCATAAGTTGCATTTTCAAACTCCGTTTTTTCGTTGCAGAGTTTTTCACCTTGCGATAGGCATTTCTCGGCTTCACTTGTCATCTCCTCAAAAGAACTCGTCTTGTTCACAACTTCTTCCTGTTGAATATTATCAAGACATTTGGGTTAACACTAAGTATTGAGATCATGCCATTTCTTCCAAAGACATAGAAAAATACCAAATAAAGTAAACATAGATCAAAGCAATTAAGGTCTAATTCATCATATTCACTTCCGAAACAGGGAATGGTATAAATCCTCGCATTTCATTACCAAACATCAAAACCAAAACTCAAAAGTCAGAGTCATACACTTAGCTTATATTTGCCTCCATAAGAAAATCCAAGATCCCAACTGTGATCTTCTTGCTGTCATGTGATGGTTTACATTTCCACCGCCATTCGAGTTTAGTCCCTTCCTTCTCAAACGTCCAAGAGAGCTGCAACCAAACCAAAATCAGAGGCAACAACCAAAGTCTTCAGCTTACTAAAACATTAAGAAACAATTTCTTCATCAAACAAGATCCAATGACAAAGGAATATAGAGCTCATGTTTTCGATCAACAAGTTCCAACTATACTTTGATAATTCCGAAACTGAATGCTTTTTTCCTAGGCTTAAACTATCAAAAGAGAAACATTCCAATATTCATTCTTTGCTATCTCTGCTTCAACATTGTTTACAATTATGATTCATCAACTACAAATTCATTCAAAACTTCACTAACCAAAGAATGATCATCAAAAGCATCAGCGAGAGAGTAAACAAGAAGCAGCGAACTAACCCGTTTACATCCCTCAAGGGCATCGGAGAAACCATAGACAGAATCAGGTTGCTGAAACCCTAAGTACTGTTCGGCGAGCTTTAGATACTCCGACACCGGCTGGTCCCATTGAGCTGCTCGATCCACCACCTCCTCCTCAGTCGCTACAATCCCGATTATAACCAGAAATCAAAATCCAAATACCTAAGAGACCTAATAGCAGTTGGAAATTAGGGGTTTTTCCTAATACCATTGCAAATCCAAGAGGAGGAGCCATCGGTGACGGAGATATCGAAACGAGAATGGTACCAAGTGCCTTTGACGAAAATTGGATCGGCGCCGGAGATTTCAAGCCGGAGACATGTGTGCTTCGTTCTCTCCGATTCAACCATTGCTTTCAATTAATCGCCGACGATGATTTGGTGTTTACTCCGTCATAACAGTCACTGTCATTCGATATTATTTTGTTCTGATTACGTGGATGCTGAGTCAGCCTCGGTATTTTTTTTCTAAAAAACACAATATGAAAGTCTTTGTATCCACTCGTTTACTTAGAGCATGATTATTGTTAACTACTTTTTTGAGTTTTTAGCATTATTTTAAAATTTGTTTTACGCTAAGTAATATTTGTAAGAAACCCATCATTATTGCTAACTACTTTTTTGGGTTTCTTAAAAAAAATAATATAATAATTTTTTAATTAAAATAAATAAATTATTTGATTATTACATATTTAACACAAAAACAACACAAATATACATTTGAAAGAGGTAAAAAGAAGAAGAGAATCACAAACCGAGAACAAGAAGCAAAGAGAAGATGTTTAAAAAGAGAAGAAACACCGGCTTTAAAAAAAACCCACAAAGCAACATTGATGAAGGAAATCAAAGGAACATTGAAGGAAGAAAAGCAAAAACGTTTTCCAGCATTCAAGCACATTTATTATCCTAAACCAACCATTACTCTACACTAAAGCAAAAAAAGATATATTGAGATGGCATATATCTAAAGCATTCAACCAGTTTATTCAACCATTACTAATTTACTCAACCACTCCATATCTTACACAGAATCCGCATTTATCTAACTAGGCATTAATTATCATCCACCAGACTTGAAGACTAATCTTAACAGCTTCTTTAGGTTTTAAAAGCTTTGTTACGAGCAAAGAGAAGAAGAACAACTGGAGATAGATCTTTGAAGTAAGCTGAATCTGCAAAAATCATTAACCATTTACCATTCACAATATACAGAGAACCATTAACCATATACCATTCAAAAACCATTTACCATTCAACAGATAGATCATTCACTTAAGCTAAAAGAGATAGACACAATATACCGATCATATCAAGACATAGAAACATATATATCATGAGCCATTTAGATCATGAACCAGTAACGATCATTCTCCATTAACTTAAGCTAAAAAGGATAGAAAGACATAGATCATGTAACGGTTTACAGATCATGAACCATTAACCGTTTACAGATCAAGAACCATTTACCATTTACAACTCATCAAATCCAAACACATCATCATTCAGAAAACATCATAAATTCAGCGATCCTTAAACTAATTCAGAAAATATATAGAAACTACATGCAAAATGGAGAGATCATGAAACTCTGATGAAGATTTACAAACTAAATAATCGATCCATAAACTAATTTGCATTTCTGATCCATGCAAATCCAGGACAGAAACAGAATCAAAATCAACAAACATATAAGAACAATATGAAGGAGAGAATCGCTTATCTGTGAACTCGATGGAGGAAACGAGGAAGCATCTGTAGATCGGCGCAGGAGAAGACGACCATCGCGCCGGAGAAGATGACCATCGCGCCGGAGAAGACGACCATCGACGCGGGAGATGACGATTGAAATGAGAAATTGTGCTACCGAAAATGAATTTGGTCGAAGGAGATAAATGGTCGACCAAAATGTAAACCCAAAAAAAAAATTTTCTCTCAAGATTTTTAACCAATGATGTGGTGCCACCTAGTAAGTAGATTCGATCTTTGTGGTGACCAAATAAGGATCGATCTCTCTCCTTGTGGACCTTTTTGATTTAATTTTGAGAATTAAAGCCCTAAAAAACTCAATAAGGACCCAGCAATAATCATGGCCTTAGAATCTTGGCAAAAGAAACTCGAAAGAATACTTAGTTTTGCAAATATATGTCTTTCCTAACATCATGGTTTATTTTTCACATAGAAAATTTGTATATATATCCTATTTTTTAAAAACATTATAGTGGTTATGTTATAAACCTGATCGATTGTGTAGTATTTAACTTGATGCTATATATAAAAAATGAAAAATCAATCTATATGTTACATTGATCCTAGAGATCTATACTCTTAATTGTTGGAAACTGTTAATGCACATGAACGTTAAGTTATTTTCATATTATTTTAGTTCTAATACGTCGTGATGTCACGTAACTTTTTTGTATGTTTCTCAGTGGTGGAAGCAGTTAGATTGGAAGGGGGTTAATTGACCCATATGAAATCCAAATATATATATATATATATTAGTACTTTTTGAAAAAAAAAATGTGAAATGTTAAAAATTTAGTCTAATAACTTCTGTAAAATTTACTCAAAATACATTGTAAATTAAAACTGACTCTTGTAATTTGGCTAGTTTCGCCACTGATGTCTCTGAATCTTAATCATCACAATAGTTGATATTACTACATATAACCTTTGCCGTATCTAGTGCTACTAACAAATGTGTCCTAGTTTGTAGTATAGTCAGGAAAGACTTGTATATGTTTATGCTTATGTTTCACTTGTGGCTTGGAAAAATTTATACAAATATTTTGAAAATGCGAAATTGTGGTCTTAAATACACGGATGGAAGAAATGTCGATTCTACAAAGACAAATATTAAACCGTCAAACCCGTAAGAGTAAGATTAATCATTTGTTATATAACTTGGACGTGTATATACATTTTCCAAACTTAATATATTATATATTTAAGTCAAATTATTTTTTTTTTCTGTAACCTTCTTTAGGAATTATTAATTATGGTTTGGCTATAGACAAATGGGACCGACCCACTTATTTGTTGGATAGTCTTTCTTTTACTCCACTCACCGCATACCTCTATCACACACAGCTCAATCCACGTTTTCTTGTAAATTTCCCTATATAACCTTGAAGATCGAGGTTGACCCTTATATAAACAAGGACATGTCAGGAATATTCAACATAATAAGATGCTTATCTTAAAATTAAATTAATAAACAAGGGTGGTGGGAAGGGTTTTTCAATAAGGGTTTAGGTGTGGGATAATCAAAATCAAAGAGCAATAAATACGATTGGATGCAATGCCAATAAGGATGTTATGTCTTTTCTATAATCACTTTATTTTCTTTTTTATATATTTGTTTAATTTATCGATTGATTCCTTGCTAAGTCCATATCATTTGTCTAAACCAACAAAATAATGTGTATGAAATCGTCTGTAGTTTATATGATGCTTGTTGAAGTGCGTTGTAACTCTGTTTGTTTTTTGGTGATGTATTTTTGTATGAAACATAATTGTAAGTAAACAAAATATAACAGATGTATTTTGACTACTTGCACAAAAATACTTTAGTTGTTTGTAGCCATACTTTTTTTTTTTTGACGGCAGCCAAACTTAAATTGGAGTTTGGAGATAATTATAGTTTGATATCTTGTCCCTTTGTGCTATCTTAATGATTGTCTGATTATATTCAATATAGTTCGCATATATAAAACTGCATAATTGCCCAAAAAACTTGCCCCACGCTGGCCTGAAAGCTAAGCTGAATTCAATTAAAAAATTACGTTTAGAAACCAAATCGCTGTAGTTTTGTTTAGTGATTTGGTGATGCTTTATGTTGGTGAAGACTCTAGTTTACAAATCATTTTACCCCTCAAAATATAAATGGATGATAATGAATCTACAAATTAATCAAATGAGTATATATACAAGTAAACCAATTTGATAAATCATATAAATAATCGTGAAACATGACCAATTAAAACATATAATAAAAGAAATTTTGCTTACGAGTAAAAAAAGAAAAAGGTTAACTGGAGTATTACATGTATTATGGCCTTACACTAATGATTAGTGTAATCCAAATATCGTAAAATTAACTGATAGAAAGTATATATATTCAATGTTATCGTTGGAGTTTGCTACTAAAAAGAGGTCAAACAATCATTCAAAGATGCAAAAACATCAACATGTGTACGATTTCGTGTTTTATTTACCAACCCACCATATAATTAATAAAAATAATCAATATTTATCCAACAAATTATTAGTAAGGAAGTCTATAAAATGAATAATTCTATAGTAAACCAAAGTTTTTTGGTTAAAAATAAATAAATGCTAATAGTGCAGCACTAAGAGACGGTGTCAAGTAACGGCGTTAGCACCGACGAGCAAAGGAGATGGTATAAAATACACACCAACAACATAACTTGCTAAGTATCATCATCAATTCATCATCATCAAAATTCTCACAAGTCAGAAACCAAACACACAGAAGAGAGAGAGAGAGAGAGAGAAACAGCGGATACAAATTTCTATCGACTGTCACGAGAACAATGGGTGAGCAAAACAATCCTTCTACTTCGATTTCATCTATGTGTTTGATCGCGTTTTTCCTTATTTGCTGGTTCAGAATTTCGGTTTGAGATTTCGGCGTTTGTTGATTGTGATTGATGATCGTAGTTTCATATAGAGGTCACTTCTTCGTCTGAGAATCCTCTACGTCTCTCTACATTTCATTTTTTAGAACTTGTTTTGTTTCGATTCCGAGAAAATTTTGGAAAAAATTCGCTCTGGTTAGCTTCAAAATGAACGAAACTTGAGGTTTTTTTAGCTGCATGCATGTTCATTTTTGGTTGAATGCAGGAAGTATTGGCTTATTTAGCAACTAAAATTTGAGTTACTTGATTATTGTTAAATTTGATTTTCATTATCTGTGTTTGGTTAATTAAATTTAGTTGTGACAAAGAAAGTCCCAAAGTTTGGTCCAAGCCATGATGAACAAAGTATCTTTTCTTCGTTGATCCTTGTCCCTTGACTATGCAAAAAGATTTGATCGAGTGTATAGTATAATTTATCTTTTAGAGAAATTGAAAGTTGATTGATAATTATTATATTTCTATGCTTGATTACGCTTTAGATCAATACTATAATGTTTTCCTTTAAAAACAAAAGCTGTATTCGTCTTTGAGGCCCCACGTTTTGGTTAGCCTAATTGCTTTTTAAAAGAATAATGTAGAAAGGTTAGTTGAATTCTTGGTCATCATTTCTAACTAAGCATACTTTAGCTATTATACTAATCAAGAAAATCGAGTTGTATATATATTGTCTGTGGTATTGTTTATTCCATTGAGTATACCAAATATATCATATTGAATCACATTAATTGTTTGGTTTTGTGGCAGATATCTGTATGGACAAGGAGCCAGATGGTGTGGTGGTCTATGCAAACGGTGATTCGTGTAATCTAAACCAAGAAAATGTTTCTGTATTGCCTCCCTTAGATTCAGAGTCATGTGATGAAGCTAATGGAAACACAGAACACCTATTCACAGAAGAAAACGCCACAGAAGTAAAAGAATACGACGTTAAAGAATGTACCAATGAAATTCCAGTTACTAAGCCATTGGAAGATGGCAACATCGATATAGCTGCGTTGGCAAAGGATGCTAAAGCTGTAAATAAGTCGGTGTTGCCTGCGAAACACGGTTCAAAATCGGGTCGTGGGAGTAACAAAATAAGGAGCACTGTTCCACAACCCTTTGCTTTAGCTACTGAGAAGCGTGCTTCATCTAGTAAAGTGCAAAATCAGGCGACAAAGGTCAGGAGTTTAATGCTATTATATATATTACCAACTTGTTCTAAAACATTCATGATAACATGAAGAATCTTGATTTGTCTAACTAAAATGCCTATGAATTCTCTTGTGACTGAAGGTACCTAGGAAACCATTGCAGCCAAAAAACAAGAAGCTTTCTGATGAGGAAGATTCTTGCTCTGTTGCTTCTTAGTATGTTGCCTTACTTATCAAGATTCATTATTTTTTCAATTTATAGTTATCTAACCATTTTGCTCTTGAACATGTTGTTGACAGTGCCACGTCGGCTGCAAAGTCTTCTAAATCAAGAACCATTGTCATCGCAGCTCCTTCGTTTCGATCCACTGAACGTGCAGAGAAGCGGAAGGAGGTCACATAATTTTCTTTTTCTTTACTCTTATCTACCTACCATTTCACTCTTAAGAAGTTTTTGATTCATAGTGCGTTGGCTTTGCTTGATTGTTGTTGTTCAGTTCTATACAAAATTGGAGGAGAAACACCAAGCCATGGAGGCCGAGAAAACGCAGAGTGAAGCGAGGAACAAGGTTTCATGCTCTAATCCTTTTAAGGTTAAATTTTATTAACTAAAAATGCTTAAAATGTTACTGATATATACTTTTCTCCCTCGGAACTTTCAATCTAAAGGAAGAAAACGATGCAGCGTTAAGGAAGTTAAGAAAGAGTTTAATGTTCAAAGCAAACCCAATGCCAAACTTTTACCATGAAGGGCCTCCTCCAAAGGTTGAACTTAAGAAGGTACTAACACACAAGGTTGTCTACAATTTCACTACAAACATTCATTGTACTAACTCACAAGGTTGTCTAATTTTCAAGTTGTTAACTTTTCTTTATGTTTCTGTACAAACACAGCCTCCTCCAACTCGAGCAAAGTCACCAAAACTAGGACGCAGAGCAAAAGGAGCTTCGAGGCGGCATGAAACTCGAAAGCCACTAGTGATATCTAAAGAAGACTTTGATGATGAAACCACACAGAACTCTGACCAGATAAACCGAAATTTGGAACCGGAGACCGCTTTTGCATGCTAAAGAGAACAGAGTGTTATGTGTTCAATTGTGAGAATGTGTGTGGTGGATGCTTGTGTTTTTTTTTTATATTTAACTTATTATTTGAAGTGTAAATGTGTGTAATTTAATGTAATTTATGTTGTGTTTATGAATGTGTGTACACATAGAAGTAAGAATCTTTCATGTTTGGATTGTTATAACGAATCTTTTGTTCATAATCATTTGTAAGACTCGAAGCGGACTTTTACCTACCGTTGGTCGTGAGAAACACCATAATAGCACATTGTTTTATTTTAAATAAGGAAGTTGTTTGATCAAAGCTGTCATTATAGGTGAGAAGTTGGTGAATCAAATGAACTGTTTATTCGTTAATCATTGTTTAGTTGTTTGATAATGTTATCAAGTAATATGTTGCAACTTGCAAAGTACAGTAGATTAAACATAAAAAATGTGAAAAGAAAAAAGATTGTCAATTTGTCTTCTAAAGGGTCGACCAAAAAGAAAAAGAAATAAAAAAATCGCTGAATTCTTATGTACCCAGTGATTGTATATCGCACAATTGAGGTTTCATGATGGATTGGGCCTAATATTAATGGGCCTATATGAGCCACATTTAAAGAGATAAGGCGTTAATATGTGGCGCAACGCTGGTGACTGAAGCACTGAAAAAAGTCTTGAAGATCTTCCCAATTTCCAACACAGACAGAACAATTTTGTACCAAAACCGTTACAGTCATTATCCAAAATTCCCACGTGTTCTTATGTCATGATTTCTCTTCCCCTGCACGTGAATCTCACCTTCTCTTTATTTTCTTTTCCTTTTTCTTTTTTAACTTCTGCATTTATTTATTAGGATGATGAACATATATAAACAAAATGTAAATCTGAGCTTATTACAGATGGTATAAAAGGATGAAAATTACTGTAAAGTTTTAACTCTAATTTTTCTTTTTCTTATTTTCTCATTTTTTCTGTAAATTTCATAATCTTATATAATGTTTATTTTATTTTACTTTTGTTATTGTCATTGACAAAACGGAATTTCTTGTTGAAAAAATGTATCATCCAAATAAGCAATCAAATGTTGAATGTAATAAATATTGGTTATTGATTTTTTTTCTTTAACCCATTTTTTTTATAATAACTTCAAAGAAATGGGTTAAAAAAAGGGAAAAATGTTATAAAAACCCTGAACTTTTAAAAACTGGCTATTTTAACCATGAATTGTGATTGCGGCCATTAAAACCTGAAGTTTGTCGTTGACTATTAAAATAATCCTGAACTTTGGTTGATTTCGCGGATTCAACACTGTCGTTAAACGCATAGACGGAATCGTTAACATCCGTCTAACCATGCCGTTAATGATAAAACGACGTCGGGATGTTTAATTAAAAACCCCCAAATTGTCTAACCCTAATTCGATTTTACCCTAAATCGATTGAAAGAAAAATCCTAATTCTCTCATTCTGTCTTCAATTCTCTCTTGTCTCTTTGATTCTATCGTTCTTTAATCTTGTCTTGCCCTAATGGCTCCTCGTAGAAAGAAGAAAACGAAGAAGAGGGGTGCAGAGAGTGCTTCAATCCGTGAAGGAGAAACAGAGAGTGCTTCAAATCCGAATCACGCTGGAGCGTTAGTGGTGGTCCGCGAATCCTCATCTGTCTGTCCTCCATCACGGCGGAGAAGAAGAAGAAGAAGAAGAAGAAGAAGAAGAAGACTGTCAGCATGACGATGAAGATGACTGCCAAGTAGGTGGTGATACTGATTGTGAAGATATTAATGATTCAGATGAAGATAATGGAGAGGGTAATGGAGAAACTGGTTTAGTAGTTAGGGGAGATGTAAACATCAACATTGCAGATAAGATTCCAGATCCTCTCTCATCTGATGACGAAGCCGAGAGGAACGATGATAAAGACAGAGCAGTTCCAGAGCGTAGAGAAAATCCTGATGATCCAGAGATGTTGATTCAGTATGAGAAAACTTATAACTCTGCTGCAGATTTTAAGCTTGCATTATTGACGTACTCGCTTAAGACAAGGTATGATATTAAGTTGTACAAGTCTGAGAGTACTAGGGTCGCTGCTAAGTGTTGTTACATTGATAGTGTAACAAAAGTTGAATGTCCTTGGAAAGTTTACGCTTCTTATGAGAAGAAGAAACATAAGCTGCAGGTGAAGACCTATATCAATGAGCACACTTGTGTTAGGTCTGGTTATCGAAAATGTTGAAGGTTTCTGCTATAGCTACGTTGTATGAAGAAAGATTGAGGCTGAATCCAAAGATAACAAAAATCACAATGGCTGAGGAGATTAAGCGAGAATACAACTTGGAAGTGACTCCAGATCAGTGTGCTAAAGCAAAGACAAAAGTTCTGAGGGCTAGAAAAGCAAGTAATGAATCTCATTTTGCTCAGATATGGGATTATCAGGCCGAGGTCTTGAAGAAGAACCAAAATTCTGAATTTGATATTGAGACTATCCTGGGACCAACCATTGGCAGCAAACAAAGGTTCTTTCGGCTCTACATTTGTTTTAAGTCACAAAAGGAATCTTGGAAACAAACCTGTAGACCCATTATAGGGTTAGAAGGTGCTTTTCTAAAATGGGATATAAAGGGTCATCTTCTAGCTGCAGTAGGAAGAGATGGAGATAATAGGATAGTGCCTATTGCATGGGCTGTGGTAGAAATTGAAAACGATGATAACTGGGATTGGTTTGTCAAAAAGCTATGTCATAGTCTCGGACTTCAAGGTGGTAGCAGTGTAACCATCATTTCAGATAAACAAATAGTAAGTATTTGAGATGGTTTGTTTTGTTTGCATGTTTGAAACACTGAATTTTTTTAATATGTATTGACTTTGAATTCTTTTACAGGGTCTAGTCAAGGCTATTCATAATGTACTTCCAGAGGCTGAGCATCGACAGTGTGCTAGACACATAATGGAGAACTGGAGGAAGAAAAATCATGACCAAGAACTTCAATGCATCTTCTGGAAGATAGCATAGGAGAGTACACTGACCATAGGGAGGAATTGAGGAAGTACAATCCTCACGCTCATGTATCTCTGCAAGATACTAATCCGCAAACTTGGTCTAGAGCGTTCTTCAGAATTGGAAGTTGCTGCAATGACGTTCTCAATAATCTTAGTGAGTCTTTCAATAGGACTATAAGACAAGCAAGAAGAAAACCTTTGCTAGATATGCTGGAGGACATCAGGAGACAATGCATGGTCAGAAATGCAAAGAGGTTTGTGGTTGCTGATCGGTTGAAAACAAGGTTCACAAAGAGAACTCACGCTGAGATTGAGAAGGTGATAGATGGGTCACGACATTGAAAAAGATACATGGCCAGAAACAACCTCCATGAGATAGAGCTGTTTGGTGTGAACTACTTTGTTGATATGAATAACAGAACCTGTGGTTGTAGGAAGTGGCAGATGATTGGAATTCCTTGTAGTCATGCTGCATGTGTTATAATAGGGAAAAAACAGAAGATTGAAGATTATGTGGTAGGGTATTACACAAGAGAGAAGTGGAGACAAACTTACATGGATGGTATCAAGCCTGTTAAAGGAGCACCATTGTGGCCAAGGTTGAATAGATTGCCTGTCTTGCCACCACCATGGCGAAAAGGAAATCCAGGAAGGCCACCAAACTATGCAAGGAGAAAAGCAAGAAATGAATCATCATCATCCTCAAATAAGAGCAAGATGTCAAGAAAAAATAGAGTGATGACATGCTCTAACTGCCACCAAGAAGGCCACAACAAGCAAGGCTGCAAGAATGCAACTGTTCTGCTCCCACCAAAGAGACCAAGAGGTCGACCAAAGAAAAATTTGGTTAGTGTCTTATTCTCTCTCTCGGTTGCTGTTGTTTACTATGGTTTGTGAAAAAAATTGGTTAGTGTCTTTTTGCTGTTAAGAACATGTGTTTGTGTGTGTTTGATTGAAATAGGAATCGGAGGCTAGCTTATCACAACCTCTCGGATCACAACATCAAGGATCACAACCTCTCGGATCACAAGGACAAGAAGGATCACAACCTCTCGGATCACAACCAATCGGATCTCAAGCTCAACCTCTCGGATCACAACGTGGCTAGCTTGTTCTCTCTCTCGGTTTATGTGTATGACTCTTAGTGTTTTAGTCTCTCTCTCGGTTTATGTTTATGACTCTTAGTGTTTTAGTCTCTCTCTCTCGGTTGCTTTTGTTTTTGATGGTACTATGAATGTGCTCTTGTCAAAACGCTTTGTTGATGTTTTTTGGTTTATCATACTCTTGGACAAGGTTATTATGCTATGTCTTTGTTTTGTTACTCTTTGTCTTAGACCAAACTTTGTTTCATTACAAAAGAAAACAATGACAAAAGCCACAAAACATACAAAGACACAAACCATACAATGACACAAACCATACAAAGACACAAAGCTAAACCATACAAAGACTCTAAGACGCAAAGACAAATCAAAGATACAAAGAGAAAGACACAAAGACAAAGCAAAGACACAAAGAGAAAGCAAACTACATGGAACCAAGAACCATTTGCTGTTTCTTTGTTTTAACAATCATTGTCATCACAATGACAAACACAGTTACACAAAGGCACACGAAGCACATACATTTGATCTTCAATTTGGCATTGTTAATCTCCCTTTTGGTCAGCAATAAATCTTCCTCCAACTCACGGATTCTACCCTTCAAACCTTCGATTTCGTCACCAACATCGAATTTAGCATTTTCAATCTCACCTTCAATACTCGAGATTCTCGGCAAAGCATCAAAAACTTCCTCATACACGCCATCCTCCACCCACTTGAACAAATGATTCTGGGTTTTAAAACACAAACGAACAGATGTGAACCCAAAAAAAAAAAACAGAATCAAAGGCAAACTCGAAAATCTTCTTACATCTTTCATGGTTGGAGATCGAAAGAAGGGTCTGCCTGGGTTTTCTTGGGTCTTCGACGTGAAAATGACGACATCTCGCCCGCAGTGACACTTTGACGGAAATTCCCGACCTCTATCCTCAACACTCGACAAGGCAGAGTTGCAGCTCATTGCTCTATGGAAAAAAGGTGAAATCGAAGTCCCTTTCAATATAATTAACAAGAAACAAGTCTAAACCCTGAATCAAAGGAAGAACTCGTGAATCAGAGGAAGAAATCGAGTTGGATTGAGAGGATTTTGATTTTTTAGGGTTTGAAATCGATAGAATTGGGGATTTTATTTTAAAATCCTAATGTTGTTGTTATAAACATCCCGACGTCGTTTTATCATTAACGGCATGGTTAGACGGGTGTTAACGATTCCGTCTATGCGTTTAACGACAGTGTTGAATCCGCGAAGTCAACCAAAGTTCAGGGTTATTTTAATAGTCAACGACACACTTCAGGTTTTAATGGCCGCGATTATAATTCATGGTTAAAATGGCCAATTTTTGAAAGTTTAGGGTTTTTATAATATTTTTTTCATTTCTTATGGCTTAAAGAAATAGATTAACTTAAAGGAGTATCAGATTGTAATCTTATCCACAGTGAACAACACGCGCTTCTATTTACGCGTGAGATTTGGTTTTTAACGAGAAAGCCACGTCATCGCCACTGTGCTGTTCCTATCATCACTATCTCTATCAACTGCCAACGTCTTTTCGGTACAGCAAATACCAAATGCTATCAAACACATTTATTTAATTTCTTTTTCTTTTTCTTTCTAAATCATTATTTAATCAGCCAAACTAATTTAAATAAATAGGCGGAAATTGCTTTTGCTTTCTTCCTCTTCGTCTCCATCTTCTTCGATTCTCTTCGGATCGGCTTCCGTCAATGTCGTTCGATTCTCCGGTGAGCAGAGGATTTCATTTTCCATTCTAAAAAATCTGAAAAACTTTCTCAGGAAAACAAACTTTTCAGATCGTCAACAGTTATGGATGAAACCTATCGTAATCTCACGGATTTTCTCCGGAGACCCTCTGTTACAGAGACATTCGTCGACATCTTGCTATGCGCAGTTCCGATTTGGCTCGCCGTCATGATCGGACTTGTGATCGGATGGTCTTGGCGTCCAAGGTGGACCGGATTGATTTATCTAGGGTTCCGTTCTAAGCTCCGGTTTCTCTGGACTGCTCCGCCGGGATTTGGCGCTCGCCGTCTTTGGCTTGCTTTCACCGCTCTCTCCGCTTTCTCCGTCTGCCGCACTTTATGGTCTAGACTCGGTACGAGCGCCAAGAAATCAGCGACCGGTTCAGCTCCGTCGTCTGCTTCGGTCGAAGAGACTCTTCCTAATGGTGAAACAGATGCATTTTCACGGTTAGTCTATGAAAAAACGAATATGTTCTTGATGAAAAATGTTCTGCTTTATGGTGGAATTGAGAAAGTAATCTTTGTGACGATGTTGCATAACTATGAACTATTGATTTTATCTTGAGATTTGTGTATTCAGCTGATTGATTTGTTTTTGGTGTACTTATGGATTGCAGAACAAGTGATAAAAATGCAGAGAAAGAGAAGGATATTGTGACAGAGAAGGACCTAGAGCATTTGATGTATCTGCTTGAAGCTGGAAATGCGAATATTGAATGGCAATCTATGATGGATAAGTCTACTCCAAATATGAGCTACCAGGCATGGCGCCATGAGCCTGAGGTAATCTAAGCTTCAAACTCTTGCTCTTAATATCTGTTTCTTATAACTCGTTCATGAAGGAACGAGCCAAAACTTATTGATCACTAGTTCTATAGAAAGTGTTATGTATTTTGATGGAAAAGGATGTGGACTATTATTGTTCACTACACTATTCTGAGGTCTTGTATGGATTAGGTAGCTTTTGGGTATGCTTGGTGAAGCTGCTGCATTTTTAGTTATCTGATGCATCAAGCTTATATTACATTGTACCTGAAACTTGTTTTTGAAAACAGCATATGAAAAAAGAGTGTTTGACACCACGTTTTAGTTCCTGAAAGGCTGTGTTTTTCTTTGTCAGACAGGTCCCGTTGTTTATCGAAGTCGCACTGTTTTTGAGGATGCAACTCCAGACATTGTTAGGGATTTCTTCTGGGACGATGAATTCCGGCCTAAATGGGATCCTATGCTTGCTTACTTCAAGACTTTGGAGGAAGATCCTCAGACAGGGACAACGATTGTTCACTGGATAAAAAAAGTATTTTTGTGCTTTTCTTTTTGTTCCCTCTTTCTATTCTATCTCCTCCATGAACAGCTTTTGCATATTAGCCATTACTAATTTCTTTCCTCTACAGTTCCCTTTCTTCTGTAGTGACCGGGAATACATCATTGGTAGGAGAATATGGGAATCGGGAAAGAAGTATTATTCTGTGACCAAGGTAATATCTGACTTTTGCTTTATCATAGATCAAAATGTCCCTAGTCGTTTGTCTGATATACTGTTTTGGTATTCAACTTTTGTAGGGAGTACCATATCCAGGTCTACCAAAGCGTGACAAGCCGAGGCGAGTAGAGCTTTATTTCTCAAGTTGGATTATCAAAGCGGGTATGTCCTCTTAAATTTTCTTGACGGCTTACTAATTTCCTTTATCTGATTTTGAGTGGCCCGTGTCTAAGTCCAAGCGGAATACGCAAAATGCAGTTGAATCTCGAAAAGGAGATGGACAAATGTCAGCTTGTGAAGTATCTCTTGTCCACTACGAAGACATGGGAATCCCAAAAGACGTAGCAAAGTTAGGAGTCCGTCATGGCATGTGGGGAGCCGTCAAAAAGCTAAACTCTGGCTTAAGGGCTTACCAAACCGCTAGAAAACAAGGGGCGACTCTTTCACGGAGCGCACAAAGTGCAAGAATCACGACAAAACTGAACGTGGATTTGGTGGAAACATCGAGAGCAGAGGGAGAAGAGAGAGGACGAGCCATGGAGAACGCAAGGAGACAAAAGGAGCTGTTCAGTGTAGATTGGAAATGGATCGTTGTAGGAGGAGTTGCTTTAGCTTGTGGACTTCATTCAAGTGCTATCGGCAAGGCTTTAATGGTTGGAGCTGGACAAAGACTTGCTCGTAGGTGAAAAACCTCTGTCGTTATCTCTTCCTGAGAGGTTCATATTCTTATGTGTTTCCCTGGAGGATTCTTTAGCCCACCAGCACAGAAAGACAATTCATTTATATATGCATTGTGAGTGGTTGTGTTTCTTCTTGTAACTGCGTTGAGATGAGCATATTTAGTGTTGAAAGCAACGTGAAGGGAGTAATCTTGAGCCAGGGCTGAAATCTGGTCTGAGTATTTCTTGTAATACAGCCTAAGACTATGGAGCTTATTTAGACGTTTTGTTGCATCTTATACTCATTTTTCGTGGACAATTATTTAGCAATCAATTCCCTTTCAATTTTATTTTAATATTTTCCATAGAGCTATAATCCTTTTTTTTGGCCAAGATAAAGGAAAAGGCATTGACAAAAGGTTTGTGCTTATGACCCTTTCTAGAGGTAAGACAAGCCTAATGCAAACCTCCAATGAAGTGATTTACTTGGATTATCGGAGTGTTTTACTGGTTCCATGCAGAAGAGATTGAATGAAGTGTTGATCCGTTGATGGAAAAACCGTATATCCTTGGAACGGAAATGTTAACTTAAATTTATTGTGATACTATCATGCATCTTTCTCATGTTAATAACATTTTAAGGAAATTTTCTAATTTAATAAGTATTATAAATGTGGAGAGGAAGAATGGATGATACATATATTACAATATGACATGTTTTTTCGTCACTTTTATTGATCTGGTGGCGAATTGTCTTAGCAAAGTGTGTCTTAGCAAAGCTCCCAGATTTGAACGGTCTTGAAATCATCGTCTACTTCTCTAAACCGTGGCTTTAAACCAAATAATTGAACCGGTTGAATTAAACCAGAGCATCCTCTTGCATACCATGTATTGCCATATGTTGGCTATATTGAGCTCTTCTCAACCTTACTTTTACGAAAACATGTGTTCCGATCCGATGAATGGTTTGCCTCTTTGATGCAGCACAACTATATTTTTCTTCATTTTTATAGATTTAGTATATATTCGTATTAGTAGAGAAATGGTAACTATTGAACCAACTAAACACAAAGTTGAGTTTTTTTGGCGGTACCCGCTCTCATTTTTATCATTGCCATTGGCTATGTTGTGTGGTTCCATTGTGAGTGCCCGCAATGTTTTGAGAGGCTGGATCCTGCTAAATGATCAGAAAGTTATTTACGTTTTTTATTTATGCAACTAAGATTGTGTTTTTCTCTTCTAATTGTGTTTTTCCATATTATGGTGTTCTATGAAATAAATTAGTATGTTTTGATATTTTCATGAATAAATTGGTTTATTTATATGAAAGAGTTTGTGTCCATTCATTATGTTGATTAACCGAGAATATTTTTTATACATATGTGTTTCCTTCCCTAGAGGATTCTTATTATTTTTTATCTTTTCATGGATTGTATTTATCTTCTTGTACATACGTTGAGAAGAGAGTAGATAGTGTTGCACGCGAATTAAAGAAAGTAGTTTTGAGCCAAAAACTGTAATTTGGTCAAAAATATGAAACTTATTGGACTTGCCAGTAGCCAGAGTTGTTGTGGTCTAGCGACGAATTTTAACCGAAGTAAAAGCTTTGGTCAAGTCATTAGCCTTGGAGGGCTATATTTGCGATCCAATTCGTCCTTGAGATTAGTTGGGTTCCTGAATGTCTGGTCTCAAATCACCCAGGCTAATCAAGAAAACAAAAGCAACTTCTTGGAAGTTTTATTGCATCTTATATCTCATTTGCGTGGACAATTATATAGCAATTAGCTTTCAGTTTTTTCTTACATAGAGCTATAATCCATCTAGATAATTCATTTAAACAAGATAATTAAAGGAAAAGAAATTCGACAAATCTGTCAAATGCAATGTAAGCAAACCTCCAATATCTCATGCATCTTGGATAGAGATGTAAACAATCTATGTTTCATAAATTAATGCAATGTGAAAAATCTAAGTTTCATAATTAATGAAATGAGAATAATGCATTCATAAATAAAATTAACTAAATTTTGTTTCATATTCATTCTATTTTACTTTTTTTTGCTTCATACTCTCTCCTTTTTATTTTGATATTTTTCTTTGCTTAAAAGTTATATCCTTTTTAGATAATAAACTTTTTTAATACATAAATGTTTTATTTACTTAATCATACTTTAGTATATATATATATATATGATTTCTTGTTAATATAATTAAATATATAATTATATCCTTCTGTTTTTATTTTTAAAATTTTAGATAAACTGTAATTTTAAATCTATTTACATTTTTATAAATCTAATTTAGAAAATTGTTTTAATGTGTCAAAATCTTATTTTTAAAAAAAATCCAGACATGCCAAAGTCTGATTAATTGACTTGACATGCATTTGATCATGTTAATAACTAATTTAAAAATAGGGAGGATTACTACACTAACCTTAGAAAGTATCTATATTACTGGTTCGACGAACTTTTATTTTTTTTACAAAACTAACCTAGCATACCCAAAACACCCTTTTCGCCTTTGTTGAAAAAACTTTATTACGAAATGCCATTACTTTTTTAATGCCACGTAGGCAGATTCTGGCGCTAAAAATTTCATAAGTCTACCAAGCTTTGACGGTAGACTTATGAAATTTTGGTCAACGCAGAAATTTTGTTGGTAGAGTTATTAGGGCGATGGTAGATTTATTCAAGAGTTGGTAGAGTTTTTAAATGTTGGTAGACTTTTCTTGGTAGAGTTTTGACGATGAGAGGTAGATTTATGGGGTTTCGGTAGATTTGTTGTTATGAATGGTAGACTTGTTAAAAGTTTTGGTAGACTTGTTAACAAAAGCGTTGACTTTCTCGCATAGTTGACTTTTTCGGTAGATTTATTGACAATGAAGTAGATTTATTTTCTGAGTTGGTAGACTTATTTCCTTTAGCGGTAGATTTATGTGAAAAAGGTTGTCAATACGTGCGGTAGACTTATCTGTTTCATGGTAGAGTTATATATAATTGGTAGAGTTTTCGCTTTTGTGGTAGATTTGTTTGACTTGTGGTAGATTTAATTCAGTTAAAATTCATTCCGGTTAGTGGTAGACTATATGTTACATGAGGTAGACTTAAAAACTGTTGGTAGATTTATTTGTTTTGTGGTAGACTTATATTTTTAAAAAATTTCATTCTGATTTGTGGTAGATTAATAATGACATGAAGTAGACTTACAAGATGTTGGTAGATTTGTTTGTATGTTTGGTAGAGTTTATGTAATCTAGTAGACTTATATGCCGTATGGTAGACTTGTTAAAATAACAATGTGGTAGATTAATTAAGTTTAGGATTTACAGAGTTAACCTTGATCTGGTAGACATATGACATGCTTATGGTAGACTTGTTTATATGGTAGAGTTATTTGTCATGGTTGAGGTAGACTTAGTATTTAATGTTTGGCAGACATTTGACTTTATGGAGTAAAATTTCTTTTTTGTCCAAAAGAATTGTTCTATCTACAAAAAAACCTACTGTTTGGTAGACTTATGGTTTCAGTGTTGTACGTCTTGCAATTTTCTTCCATATGGTAGACTTATGGTAACGGTAACCATAAACCGTTACCAACGAACCGTCGCATATGGTAGACTTATGCATTTTCCAACGAACAGTCGCATCGATTTCGAGAACTTCTATTGACTCGAGTCGCTTCGATTTCGAGAACTTCTATTGACTCGAGTCGCTTCGAGTTCTCTTGTGAGTTCTCTATAAATACCACAACCTAGACGATTCATTTCCCATCCCGCTAAACCCTATGGCGAATCTCGAGTCGCTTCCTTCTGATCTTTTGTACGAGATATTGTTAAAAATATCTTCATACTCGTATGCGGATCTTTTTCTTGCAAAAGTTTCGTCCAAAACACTTAACAACATCTCTAACGAAGCGGGTTTTCTTAGGAATGTTGATTTAATCAATATTATCTTGCCGTGGAGGTGGGATGTTCATGGAAGGGTCGGTGCATTCTTTAATCGGTGCTTGGCGGCAGGAAATCCATCCGCACAATTGCGAAGAGGTTTATCGCTGATTTTCTTCGAACATAACCTCCAAGCAGGGTGTGATTTCATTCAAATGGCATCAGACAACGGATTTCTCATGGGTAAGTACTGCCACACTATGTTACATCTAACCATGGATGGCACATCAGAGGTATTCAACTCTGTCAAAGCTCTCTCCCGGGAAGATGCAAAGAAAATGAGATTGACAATGGAAAAGATCTTCATGCCTGCGTTCAATTTCCAGAAGCCCGAGGAACTGGTGGAAATGGTTTTCCAGGCTTATAAAAAGTCTTTAAGTACAAGGATTTGTGGTTGTCTCAAAGTACCAGACATGCAATGGATGGGAGATGAATACCTGCTAGAGACGTATGGGGATCAACTTTGTGAATCCTGCTTCTGGAAATTGGAATGTGTCAATTTCTGGTGGGTAGTACCGTCGTTTGATATGGATTGACCACGTTGATTGCATCAGTAGTTGTACTTTCATGTTTGTTGAAAGACTTTTGTTTACTTAAGTAGATTTGTTTTTATTATGAAGTAGACTTATGAAAGTTATGTTGTGTTATTTATGTTGTGTTAAGTAGATTTATGTGTTATTCATTTCGAAAGCTATAAATTATAACAAATCTACCAACAATATAATATAAGTCTACCATTCGTTCGACTGTAATTGGGAACATGACAAGTCTTTTACAACAAATCTACCAACAATATAATATAAGTCTACCATTCGAGTTAATATAAATCTACTAAATTGTACTTAACATATACGCAATGGCTGCAAACACGAACAGCAACGCCAGCATCAAGTAGTGGTCACCTCTGGCGTTTTGCTCCGTCATCCAAACAAAGTCGCCTTGAAGCCGGAGTATCTCATCTTTCATTTCCCGAATGTCTCCGACCAAGTCATTGCATTCCATAGACCTCTCCAATGACTGGAAACGATTCTCCAAACGCATGAAACGAGGATCAAAAGCTTGAGCTCTGCTCAGCTCTTGCAATTTCTCCTTATTCTGCTCAAGGCCAATCTTCAACCGTTCCAATTCCTCTGTAACAGCCTCATCCCACCATTTCCAGATATGGTCTGGATTCCCCTACATACATCAGGCCAATCTCATACATTAAGTATCACAACAGTTAACTAAAGATTAACAAATGGATATTTTTAAGAAAACTTATGACAAATACTCAAGCTACTTACCTTCTTCAACCAGAATGGACAAGTGTAGTACCTACGGCCAGGTGTTGCGGGCGTATCACCAGGCATTGATTTGAGGATCATATCCCGACCACAATAACACTTCTCTTGTATCCCAAAGTTC